TCTGTCCCTGTCCCCTCACAGCTGACCCAGGGTGGTCTGTCCCTGAGCTGAGTGAGCGTGCTCTGTCCCTGTCCCCTGGGCTGACTGAGTGTGCTCTGTCCCTGTCCCCAGGTGCTGCTGAGTGGTGGTGTGGACTCCACGGTGTGCACGGCGCTGCTGAACCGCGCTCTGAGCCGCGAGCAGGTCATTGCTGTGCACATCGACAACGGCTTCATGCGCAAGAGGGAGAGCCAGGCTGTGGAGGAGGCCCTCAAGAAGCTGGGCATCCAGGTGAAAGGTAGCTCTGCTCCGTGTTCCCTACACCATTCCTGACTTCTCCAAAATCTGTCCTTGGTGCTGGGCTTCATCCACCTGCTGTTCCCAGACCCATGTACCCAGGCCGGGTCAGCCATGTGGAACCACCCAGACCTGTTCACAACATTGAAACCTCAAATGTTGGGCCTTATTTCCCTGATTGGAGATGGGGATTGAGCTGCCCCATCTCCCTGGTTGGTGGGGCACAGCAGAGCCCTGGCTTTGTGCCTTGGTCACAGCTCTGCTGAGGGATCCCGTGCAGCTGCTGCACAGCTCACTGCATTTCCATTGTCTCTGGTATCTTGATAAACACTCAGGGYTTTATTTCTTACCCCGGATCTCTTTCTTTGTAATCTGTGAGCTCATTTGGGTGATTGAACACTACTGTAGCTAGAATGGCTTTTTCAGGRCATTTTTTCTTGCTTTCAGTGCATTTTAGTTGTTTTGGAGTGGCTTTTTGAGAACAAGKTGTTKGTTGGTCARAGGTTGGGCCKGATGATCTTGGAGGTCTTTTCCAAACCTCTGTGATTCTGTGAAGGAATTCATTGAGAGAACAGAAAGTGCCCTGATGTGGCTGATGAGAAGGCTCAGAGGTTTTTGTACCTCAAGTATGAGGAGGTCAGAGAAGACAGAGTTTGTGCCAGCAGCAAGAGCTGCCCTGTGCTGCATGGATGATGAATTTCTGAATGATAGCTGCCCTGTGCTGCGTGGCTGATGAATTTTAGAGTGATAGCTGCCCTGTGCTGTGTGGATGATGAATTTCTGAATGGTAGCTGCCCTGTGCTGTGTGGATGATGAATTTCTGAGTGATAGCTGCTCTGTGCTGCATGGATGATGAATTTCTGAGTGATAGCTGCTCTGTGCTGCCCAGGGCTCTGCTCAGGCACTGGGTGGGCAGTGCTGCCCACTGGCCCTGGCACAGTGCAGGCTGGCGTGCAGTGTCCTCAGCTTCATTCTAGACACATATTTTTCTAAATTTATGTTAGTTTTACTTCTTTTTTAGTGGCAAATCCATGTCTTATTCTTGCACTCTGTGGAGCAGTAAACCTGGGCCCTGGCAGGCAGCCAGAGGAACAAATCRAGGGAATCCCTTTGCTGCAAGGGCTCCTTGTGTAGGTCACAGAGTTCAGTGCTGGTGAAAGATGCCACAAAGCCTCCCAGCTGATCTCGGGGTTGGGAGCCTCTCTAAATTAAGAGGCATAATGTAGCATGAGTAAATAGTGCATCATTTAATTTTGGTTGCAGAAAAGCCTTGGGGAAACACTGTCCTGTGAACTATTTAAAGCAAGTAAATTATAATCTAAGAGGGGAAGCAAGGACTGGACTAGCATGTGGCTGTCTAACCTCACCATATGGGAAAAGTTATAGGTTAATAGGAAAAGTAAAAGGCTTTTGTTAAAATTAATTCTTGAGGCATTGAACAGCCCTGTTCAATGCAGTTAACAGTCAAAGGACTGCAGTGATTTTTATTTTGGTGGGGTTTTTTTTTTAAAGCACTAAAGTGAAACTTTTATTTTGTAACCTCAGTGAAAATCTCTACTGACTTTGTAAAAAATCCTGCCTGTGGTTTCCTGCAGTGGTGAATGCAGCCCATTCATTCTACAATGGCACAACAACTCTGCCCATCTCCGACGAGGACAGAACTCCACGTAAAAGAATCAGCAAGACTTTAAATATGACTACAAGTCCTGAAGAAAAGAGGAAAATYATYGGTGACACCTTTGTTAAGGTAATGYTTATTTGTTGTTTGGTTGAATTTTTTTAGTGCTTTGATTTCTGAATAGGATACATCTTTTACTGTTGAATCAGTGGTTGAATTTTTTKAATGCTTTGGTTTCTGGATACATCTTTCACTGCTGAATCAATGGCATCAGTGCTGTGTAAGCTGTGATGACCTAAGAAGCCTTTGGTAGGTGACAGGAAGAATATTGAGCAGGCAAGGATGTTGCTGTGCTCTGAAGATGTCTTTTCCATTTTCTGTTGAACTGGGGGTGGTTCTGGGGCTGCTGCAGCACTGGGACAGTGTCACTGTTGGTTTCCTGATGACCTGTGCTTTTACAGCTCTCATTTGTTGAGCAGTTCAGTGTCATCCTGGACACCTCTGACAGCCCCAAAGTGCTGAGCTCTTCCCTTTCCCACCCCTGCTGCAGATTGCCAACGAGGTTATCGGGGAGATGAACCTGAAGCCYGAGGAGGTGTTCCTGGCCCAGGGCACGCTCCGGCCCGACCTCATCGAGAGTGCCTCGCTGGTGGCCAGTGGCAAGGCAGAGCTGATCAAAACCCACCACAACGACACCGAGCTGATCCGCAAGCTGCGCGAGGAGGTGAGGGATGGGCTCTGCTGCCACTCCTGCAGCTCCCAGGAGCACGAGGATCAGGAACTGAAAACCTCTGCCTGTGCTGGTGTCACTGCCCTGCACTGGTGGGGCCCTGCTGTGACAAGGGACTGAGATTCTGTTGCAATATTTGTACTTTTTTGCATTTCTTTTATTRCCCTGGATGTGTTTATCTGAAGGCCAGGAGAGGTTTTCAAGCCCCTTTCTGTGCACAGCTCTTCACTTTTAGCATGTGAAGCACAGGCAGGAGTCTGCCCTGATGTGAATTTCTGGCTTTGGGATGGTGAGTTCCCCAGCTGTCTTATAAAATACTCTGAGGAAGAGCCAGCACAGGGGAGAGACCACCCAGAAATCTGGGGAAGGTGCTCAGTTACCACCAGCTTTCACCCATGGCAGAGAACTGATGCTCCCCATTTTTAGTATTGATCACTGCACAGAATGTCTGCAAGGCTTTGGGGCTGAGCATCCAGCCGAAACAAGAAATGTTGGAATTTGTGAAGGCAGAGCCAGCTTGACCTTACTGCTCTGTCTGCTCTGCTGGAGCCACAGATTCTTCTGGCACAACCTGRAGCTTCCTGGTCTCACCCTCTGTCCTGCAGCTGTTCTACAAAGCCCCCATTCACATGGAATTCCTTTCCAGTGTGTATGGAATCGTTRGCACTGATACTGTGAGGTCAGACCAGTTTGGGTGCCAGGACCTAAACATTTGAGGCTTTTTGTTTRAATATGTGAGCTGGAGTGTAAATTGTTTTTTTTTTTTTCTTTTAAAGGGCAAAGTAATAGAACCACTGAAAGACTTCCACAAAGATGAAGTGCGAGTGCTGGGAAGAGAGCTTGGCCTTCCTGAAGAGCTGGTGTGCAGGCATCCCTTCCCAGGTACAACAACGGGGGGACACAGCTTTGTTCTTTGGCAGATGCAGAACTGCTGCTGTCTGTTGGAGTATAAAATCCATCTCTAAACACAGCAAAAGTCCATTTAGGTTTTTACTTAAGCGCAGTATTTCAGGAAAAGATGATTTGAGAGCAGCTTGATGAATATATGTCATGTCTTATAATTGAGTTGCCTGCCTTGGTTTGGTTTTGGTGGTAGAAGCCAAAGCAGGAGCTCTCAGTGGAAGCAGTGAGCAGTGCCTGAGCTGCCACGTGGATCCCACCTGCAGTAATGGCCTGGCTCTGCCTCTGCAAGGGGCATTTGCTGTCTTGAAAACAAATGCTCAACATTTCTGACAGGAGTTCTTCACTAGCAAACAGCACAGTAGATAACTGGGGGTTGTTTTTTGTCTTACAGGGTGCTAAGGTGACTGAAGTTTAGAAACAGCAGCAAAACACACAATACTCAGTGTCTGACTCACTGTTCCCCATTTGCAGGTGAAAAGCAGCTTCCTGTTATTTGGGATAATGTTTTTTTCAATGTTGCTTTGCAGGTCCTGGCCTGGCAATCAGAGTGATCTGTGCTGAAGAGCCTTACGTGTGCAAAGACTTCCCAGAAACAAACAACATCTTGAAAATTGTTGCAGATTTTTCTGCAAGTGTGAAGAAGGTAATTGCATTCTAAACTTTAGTTTTGAGTGATGATTCTGTAGGGACTTGCAGTGGGGTTCAGTCAGCTGAAAGGTTTAAAGGGTTGGTTTATGTTTTCTAAGGAGTGATGTCCCCCAGCACTGAAGCTGTTCAGTGCAATTTGTAGKGCCTTGACTGGTGCAAGTGTTGAACCATTTCTGAAAATGGAAGCTTATTTACTTTTCAGATAATAAACAGATTTTGTTGGAGTTAAACTTTGTGCAGGTGAGGTCACATGGAGTCAGGAAAAGATCTTCCCTCCCCAGGAGAGTTGTACCATGCTAGGTTTGCACACCCAGAAATCCCTGGTGTGTAAATGCAGGTGCAGGAGGCAGGAGCTGGTGCTGGCCAGGTGTCCTGACCAAACCCTGGCCTTTTTAAAGGGTGAGATTCCACTTCTGCACCTCCTGACTTTTCAAACTTGGTGGTGGGAGGGGTCTGCTCTGAGGTCTGGGGTCAAAACAGCCCCAGAACCTTTCTGATAAATCCTGAAGGGCAGAGATTTCCATCTGCCTTTCCTTTAAAACATATGGAATTGTGGTGCCACACAACTGGAAAGTGCAGCTTTTAGAAGGAGAAAACAAGCACAGGAAAAGAGCTTCCCCTCTGGCCTTGGAGAGCTTTGGATTGAAATRCAGTCTGGTCACAGAGAAATAATAAAGTCACAGAAGTGCCTTTGCTGATGCTGAATTGTCAAATGAGAGGGGTTTTTAGATAGTTCCAAGGGGCAAATGTAGATTAAGCCAACAGCTACTTAAATAACAATTTTCTTTGTGCTGTGCAAGTTRTGTCTGAGGGCCTGGCAGCTTCATCTAATCCCCGTTTGCTTCTGTGCAGCCTCACACTTTGCTGCAGAGGGTGAAGGCGTGCACGAGTGAGGAGGACCAGGAGAAGCTGATGCAGATCACCAGCCTACATTCACTGAATGCCTTCCTGCTGCCCATCAAAACCGTGGGAGTGCAGGTATGGGGAGAGCAGGGCTGTGCTGGGGAACACCCACTCTGGGGTGCTGCAGGGCTGGGAGTGCAGGGCAGGGCTCAGGAGGGGAAATGAGGTGGCTGTGCCAGCCCTGTCCTGTCTGGGTGCTGGGACACCTGAGCAGCTCAGTGCCACGGCTCTGGGGACATTGTCCAGCTCTGGGGACATTGTCCAGCCCAGGGGCACTGCCCACTGCCAGGCAGCTGCTGCAGTCCCACTGAGCCCTGCTGTGAGCCTGATAGACCCCCTGAGCCCTGCTGTGAATATTTCTTTTCACAGCTTTGTCACCTTGCTCTATTCTTTCTCACTCACTCAGTCTTTCTCTGGTGTCACCAGCTYGGTTCTGGCTCAGTGCTGGCCTGAACTGTGGTGCTGTCACTGAAGGATGGACAGGAAGGTGTGGGGTGTCTTTGGCAGCAGAGCTCCCCTCAGGGTGGGTGTTACACACAGGTCACCCAGAGGATGCACAGGAAGGTTTTGGGGTGTCTTTGGCAGCAGAGCACCCCTCAGGATGGATGTTCTGTGCTCTGCAGGGTGACTGTCGCTCCTACAGCTACGTCTGTGGCATCTCCAGTAAGGATGCCCCGCACTGGGAGTCCCTGATGTTTCTGGCCAGGCTCATACCCCGCATGTGCCACAACATCAACAGGTCAGTGCTGAGAGTTTCCTTTCTTATCTGCTTCATCCCTGGCAGTTTGGTGGGTGCAAACGTTTCCCTGTTTAATCTCAGGGGGACTTTTTAATACAGTGGACAGGTGTATCATACAGAGGTCACAAATACACAATAAATCAAAATACAGATTTATTTCCAACTTGAAAAGTAATTGCTGGCCTGTATCCTTGGATTAGACAGCATCCACTATAATTTATGCAAATCTCTTGTGCAAGACTCCAGCCTGGTGCTGAGCTGTGGTTGCTGCAGTTTGCTTTGCCTTTGTGTCAGGAAGGGATTTGTGTGGGGCTGTCACTTCTGATGGCTCCAGAGCCAGCAGTTTGATCTTCACTGAGCTCTCTGAGGATACATTTCCTACCTGCCCGAGCCCATAACTCTTCCAGCAGCTGAAGATGCTTAGACATGAGATCAGCTCTGGAGAATTATACCCCCCTTGCCTGGCTGTGGGATTGCTGCCAAAACTGCTTAGAATTGCTTATAGCAAAACTTCATTTTCTCACRTAAGTGACACCCACTGACAGAGCTTTTACTCTGAAAGGTGAGAGCTGCAATTGCAAGATACCTGTTTCAATTAAGTGGAGAGGGGACAAAAGGAGGCACAAATCAGGACAGCCTGTGCAATTTCAGAGCATGGCAGAAAGCAAAAATAAAAGGCAATTTGTGGCTTTAGAGCACTGCTGGGTTATTTAAGCTCTTCTGGGTTTAGCGCTGCCCTCGTGCACATCCCACATCTGTGGGAGCTCTGATGTCCCCGGGGATCCGTGCAGGGACAGTTTGTGTCCTGCCCAGCTGTGACAAACAGAAATGCCCGGTGTGAGCTGGCACAGCTGTGTGCCCTGGGTGTGGGACAGGTGTCCTGCTTTGTGTCTGCAGGCTGAAATAATGCTGTGAACACGGTGTGGTGAATCCCTGCACGGGGCCACCCWGCCTCTGCTCTTTGCAGCATCTGAAACACAAAGAATGCAATCAAAAACAGAGCTGATGTGGCTGCTTTGGGTTCAGAAGATCTTTGGTTACAGATGCATGTTTATAAATTGCAGTTAGTGCCCTGTGCTGAAGGTGTAGCATTTAATGGGGGGTTTGGTGGTTTCCTGTTAAAATTGTAAGCAGAATAAAGCACGATGGTGTTTTCTAGTTCTGATTTCTCACTGTAGCACTAAAGATGCGCTTGTGAGGCCATGTGGTTTGTTCTGTGTGTGGAAAATGTTTTTTTTTTCCCCATCCTGTGTGCTGCAGAGTCGTGTACGTGTTCGGCCCCCCTGTGAAGGAGCCCCCCACAGATGTCACCCCCACCTTCCTGACCACGGGAGTCCTCAGCACTTTACGTCAAGCTGACTTTGAGGCTCACAACATTCTCAGGGAGTCTGGTAGGTGCTCCCCCTTACCCCGGGGATCAGACTGAACCACCACAGATCAGGTGGTTCCAGATCCCTGCAAACCTCATGGGCATAGTTAGAGTGGTACTGTCTAAATCTACAGGCAAAAAACTCAACAGTAGTGATCAGTTAATGGGATGACAGTGAAAAGTTGTGGAAGTTGATAGCTAAAGGACAGGAATTAGTTTTAGGGGGTTTTGGGGACTCAGTTTTAACACATCATGAAGCCCAAAGCTGTGATRCTTCACTGCAAACTTGTGCAAAAAGTGCTGTCAGCCAGCTGAAAGTCACCCAAATCCCTTCTCTTTGCTGATCTCAGCCCTCAGTGTTTACCTGAGGGGAAGAGACTTGACACAGATTTTAGGTGGTGTTGGTTTTATGGAAAGCCCAAGTGCCAGGTTTCCCATGGGGGTGATGCTCACGGCCTGTGCTGGTTTCAGGTTCCTTGAGCTGAAGTCAAAGCAGGCAGGGGGTGTTGGGTCCCCTGGATGTGCTGCACAGGCTGAGCCTGACAATAAATCATTCTGAGGTTCAACCTTTTTAGGTTTTTACTTAATTACCTTTGGAGATGTGATCTGTGTGGGAAGCTCTGCATCAGCCCTGCCTGAATTTCCTATAAATGAAGTTACAGCAGATCTCTCTTGCTGGGGATCCATATTGGGTTTGCAGAGCTGTGTGAACAGAGTTTGGGCAGAATTAACCTCAGGAGCTGCAATAGCACTGCCAGCTCTGCTGGTGAAGCTGTGTCTCACTGACTTTTGGTAACATTGGCTTTGTGTGAATGAAGCACTCCTAAAAATAAGCCTGGACTTGTGGTTTGGTGCAGAAACCTGCCTGTGCAGCAGCTCAGGCCAGGGCTGGTGGGGGGACAGAGCCKGAGCAGTGGGAGCTGCCACACACCCCAATTCTGGACTTTAGGGTCCTTGAAACCAGGAAATCAGGGGGCTGTGCATTGCCTTTCATTAAAAACTCAGAGAAATGGGATTGTGTGGAGTGACCTGCCCACCAACAGCCAGGGGACCCTGGAGAGCTTCCTCCTGAGCATTTCAAATACTCTTCAAGGAATATTTCAAAGCTTTATTTGTGCACAGCTCTTTACTGGGCTCGCTGTGGGGACAGACAGAACCCCACAGTTGCGTTCTGTGGGAAGGAAAGTGGCTCTCAGCTGATTCCCAGTGAATTACAGGGATAACAGGGATTAGCTGGGATTGCTCTGCGTGCCTGCAGAGGCTGAGGATCATCTCAAGTRGCAGTTTATAGAACCCAGAGTGGTTTGGTTTGGAAGGGGCATTAAGGATTATCTGTTCCACCCCCTGCCATGGCAGGGACACCTTCCACTGTCCCAGGCTGGCCCTGGGCACTGCCAGGATCCAGGGGCAGCCACAGCTCCTTTGGGATCCTGTGCCAGGGCCTCCCCASTGCTGATTTGCAGCTGCAGAGCCCAGGGGCAGCAGATCCCCGGGGTAGCTCCAGGGTTGGGGTGCAGCACGGTGGGGATTGTGCAGCGCTCGTGTCACCCYCTGTCTGAGCCCCCTGTGCTCCTCTGTGCCAAAGGCTATGCTGGGAAGATCAGCCAGATGCCAATCATCCTGACCCCGCTGCATTTTGACCGGGACCCCCTGCAGAAGCAGCCCTCRTGCCAGAGGTCAGTGGTCATCAGGCCCTTCATCACCAGCGACTTCATGACGGGCACGGCCGCCACGCCGGGCAGCGAGGTGCCCGAGGAGGTAAGGGCACTGACTGCTCCAGGGCTGCTGCTCCAGCTAAAGTTTGGCTTTCCTCTCACTCCCATTGCCTTCACTTGGGCTTGCTTGCAGTTTTTTTCTCTTTCATCATAATCATTAGGAGGAATATTTTGGTGTTTTGGGAAAAAAACTAACAAAATGAGGGGCTGGCAGATGGGTACGACAAACTTGAAGGCTTTCCAGCAGAGCTGAGCCAAAATACCACCAATTGAAGGAGAAAGAATACCCCAGCCATTCCTGGGATTTGRAATTAATTTTTGCATCAGTAATTGGAAGTTTCCTGGCGTTATGAGTCGCCTTTGTTTGGCACTTCTGCTTTTATTGAAATTTGYAGTTTTACATCTCAGTGTCCTGACTGCTTTTTGGGTCACTGAAAGGACTCAGGAGTCAGGTTCCAGCTTCTTTTTTTTCTGGGAAACTTTATCCATGTCCAGTCAAGTACTTTGTMGCTCTGGGAATGCACTGTAGGTGAGGAGCAGGATTGACCATTTATTTTAAACACACTTTAAGAGCAAATGAGCATTGTTTAGTAATTGAAGTGTTCTGCTTCAAGGCAGCCCATCCATGTCAAAACCAGTTCACGTTGCCATGTGAGCTGTCCCACTGCATAAAATGAGGATTCGTYTGACCTCAGTGTTTGTGTTTAAAAACAACCAAACACCATAGAACACCCCCCAAACAAAAACCCCACGTTCTACAAAATGAAAAATGGCCACTTTAAGGCCAGGTAACAATGCAGTAACTAAATAGTAGAGGTTATAGAGAATAAGTGTACTTGAAGGGAAAATAAGACTGTTTTTGCATGGAGAGCAATTGTATTGTTAGTTTATGCTGTGTCAGGTGAGTGCTGTTGGGAGCTGTGGGATTTTTAAGGAAGCTGAACTTTTGAGGATCAACAAATTCTCACCTAGAATTTTACTGCTAGCATGGATTAATTGTGAGCTCTGGAAGATAGATAWCTCCCACTGGAAACTCTTTCCTTTRGGTGCCTCTTTAGGTGTTYATTGAATTTTTAACYGTAACAGCTCCTGTTTTTATGCTGGCAGGGGTTTCCCCCAGCTGCTACTCTGTTTGGTGGCTCAGCTGAAGGTGCTGGTGAGGGGAGCCTGGGAGGGGCTGGCAGCAGCACCCAGCACAGTGTGGAAACACCTTTGGGCTGTTCCCCAAACARCTCTGGGGAGTTTGGGCTGTGCCAGAAGTCAGCAATTCCCCAGTGTAGCTGCAGATGCCATGCACCAGAGGTTTTCTTTCAGCTGATTTTGTTCCTTGAGCTGATAGCAGCAGGCTCTTCTCTCTGCTGTCCCAAAGTCTGTGGGGACAGTTTGCCGTCGAGCTTTCCTCGGATGGTTTCCATCAGGTCTGTGTTCCACCCTCCTCCTCCTGTGCTGATGTTGTGCTTCCCTGGCCTCAGGTGGTGTTGAAGATGGTGGCAGAGATCAAGAAGATCCCCGGCATCTCTCGGGTGATGTACGACCTGACATCAAAGCCGCCGGGCACCACGGAGTGGGAGTAACGGACTGTTCCCTGCGAGTACTGTGTGCAGTCGAAACCATATCAGAAACCATTCCCAGTGTTGACATGCAGTACTGTGAACGAGCGACTGGAGCTGCTGCATCGCCTCAGATTGCTCTCCTGGAGCACGGAGCTGCGCTGGGGCTGACGATTGTACGGGTAACTGATGGTGGCAGCGCTGCCGGGACGGGCCCCTCTGCTTTGCCTTTGTCTTTCCGGTTCCCCCGTGTTCTCCCGTGTTCTGTTTCCTGGCATTTCSGTGTCTCTTGGGTTTTGTACACTGTGTAAAAAGAGACAGTTTATTTACTTCTACCAAAAGCATTGTTACAGCCCAAACATGTAAAAGGAGTTAATTCTTTGTGACCAACCGCTTTGGGACGGATTTATTATAAATAAATATTTTGCCAAATGGAGCAGTGGGTGCCGTTGAGTGCTGGAGTGGCCGTGTGCTGGGTTTGGGTCCCCGTTCTGTGCTCTCTGGCCTGCTGGGCACTGCTGACCTCTCATGGCCTGGCCGTGTCCGTGTGTCCATCCCTGGGGATGCTCCCAGCCCCCCCTGTGGCTCTGGGATGGCAGAGGGGCAGCCCTGGGGGTGCAAAGCTGCTGTGGCAGCTCCTGCCTCTGTGGCTCCTGTTTGTCCCCAGTGCCATCCCTGCTGCCCTGTGCTCCCCTTGTCCTTAGTGGCAGTTGATTTTCTACACGTTTGCTTTGATGGGGTTTTTTTTGGGGTTTGTGTTGTGCTTAGCTTGGTCTGTAAGATCATTCTAGTTGTTGTTGTGGAGTCTGGGTCGGGGGGAGCCCCACCCTGTAGATCCTCCTGTCGCCCGTGTTCTGCTGTTCGTAGTGAAGCAATAATTGCAGTGGTTGCTGGACAGGAGCTTTCTGATGTGCTGAGGCAAAGCCATTTCCATCCCCCTGACACCCTGTCCTGGGGCAGGAGCAGCTGGATTCTCACCCCAGCAGATTGCTGGATGCCTGCTGCCTGGGGGAGCTGGAATGTGTGTCCAGCTCATCCCTCTCATCCCTGGTTTTTCAGTTTAAGCAGTTGTGTTTTGTTCAGCTGCAAGATCTGTAGTATTATGGGGTGGCATACTTGGTTTAAGCTGTTCAGTAAYATGGAGTATTTCATGGCTGTAGCTCCTTCTCTCTGCCCTCTCCTGGATTTGTGAACTGGAATAACGTTGAAAGTGTTTGCTCTTTATTTTTGGTCGCACGCATTTTCCTGTTCTTACATTCCCTGCCTACACATTATGGAAATGGGGTTTGGAAATTTCTGCTCCTAGGAAATGGCCAACTGGTGTAAATGTATTTTTTTGCCTGTGTCACTGAGGGGTGCTCTGCACGAGGGGGAGGAGGCGGCGTGTCCCAGTCAGTGCTCCGAGGGCTGGTGGGGACACGGGGCTGCAGGAGGGCAGGAATGGGGAGTGGGGAGCTCCCAGCTCTGAGTGCTTCCAGCCCTGCTCCAGGAGGAACTGGGAGTGGGGAGCTCCCAGCTCTGCCTCCCTGCAGCCCTGCTCCAGGAGGAACTGGGAATGGGAAATGGGGAGCTCTGCCTCCCTGCAGCCCTGCTCCTGGAGGAACTGGGAATGGGGAATGGGGAGCTCCCAGCTCTGAATGCCTCCAGCCCTGCTCCAGGAGGAACTGGGAATGGGAAATAGGGAGCTCCCAGCTCTGCCTCCCTGCAGCCCTGCTCCTGGAAGCTTTGCAGCTCGGGCGAGTTGAGCTGAACTGATAGGGGCAAATGGAGCTGAACTGGTAACTCAGTCACCTCCTTGCAAAGGGGGTGGTGATTTGCACCTGCAGCTGCTCTCAGCTCTGAGCTCCAGAGCTGTCAGTGGTTATCAATCCCCCTGCACGGGTTGGGATCAGGAGCTGTCCTGGCAGGTCACAGCCGCTCTCCAAGCGAGCTCCCCGCTGCAGTTTATTGCATTTTTTGGCCAGGGAAGGCTGAGGGCAGCTGTTGTCATTTCTGGGTGGTGCCTCCCTCGAAAGGGTGCAGGGCAGGCGATGGATCTCTGGTGAGATGCAGAACCCCCTCTGCTCCCCCTGCACCACGCTCGTCCTTGTGGCTGCCACGGCTTTGTTGCCTTGACAGCAACAAGCAAAGCTGAAGGAATCACTAAAAATAATGCAAATAWTGCAGAGAGCTCTGAAAGCCAAGCCCTGCTGGATTGTGCCAGGCTGTCCCTGTGCAGCTGGAGCTGCAGCTCGTGTCCTGTGCCTGTGATGGAACTGAGGTCAGACTGCTCACAGGGAGGGTTGGGGGCTGCAGGGGAKGTGCTGCCTCTGGACACAGCCCTGCAGCTCTCCTGGACAGGAATCTTTCACTCTCTGCATGCTGGAAAAGTCCTCCTTGGAGCTGGTTGTGAGCTCCAGGTGTGATGTCTGCCTGCACTGTTATCATCCTTTAACCCCTGGGCTGCTTCCCCTCTGCATTCCTGGAGCTGGGCAGCAATTCCGTGCTCTTCTTTAGGTCAGAAMGCTGAATATTGAACATTTTAGGCGTTAACTATTGCAGTATAAATCAAAATGTCTCATGGGAATGGAGCCTGTGCCCCTCAGCCCTGTCCCTGTGCCAGTGCTGGAGCCGTGCTGGGTGTTCTGGGAAGGTTGGTGTGCTCTCCCTGCAGTTCTGGGTGTTCTGGGAAGGTTGATGTGCTCACCCCACAGTTCTGGGTGTTTGGGGAAGGTTGGTGCACTCACCCCATAGTTCTGGGGAAGGTTGGTGTTCTCACCTCACAGTTCTGGGTGTTTGGGGAAGGTTGGTGTGCTCACCCCACAGTTCTGGGAAGGTTGGTGTGCTCACCCCACAGTTCTGGGAAGGTTGGTGTGCTCTCCCTGCAGATCTCGGGAAGGTTGATGTTCTCACCCCACAGTTCTGGGTGTTCTGGGAAGGTTGGTGTGCTCACCCCACAGTTCTGGGGAAGGTTGATGTTCTCACCTCACAGTTCTGGGTGTTTGGGGAAGGTTGTGTGCTCTCCCTGCAGTTCTGGGGAAGGTTGATGTTCTCACCTCACAGTTCTGAGGAAGGCTGGTGTGCTCACCCTGCAGTTCTTGGTATTCTGGGTGTTTGGGGAAGGTTGATGCACTCACCCCACAGTTCTTGGTGTTCCTGTGGGATCCTCGGATGTTTCTGTGGGATCCCTGTGTGCTGGACAACCACACAGAGACAAACATCATCCTCTGTTCACATTTCCTACAAACCAGCTCCGTTTAGCACTTAGTTTACAAACTAATCCCTGTAGCTGCCCTGTACAGTTCACCTCAGTAAAACATGTCAGCAGTTAGAGGAAYTTGTATCAGGGGCACTCCCCATCAGTCTCAATTTTTAACATTTTTCTGCTTGTGAAATGATAAAGTACTGTGAGCCTTAATTTTTATCCACAAATAAAAATATTATGTTTGAACCTTGGTGTGGCTGTTTTTTTTCTGTTAGGGCTTATGTGTAGAAACTCGGTTGTGAAGGGGAGTGTATTTTGGGTTGAAAAAGCWGTTTTTMTGGATGTGATTGATTTAAATGTSTGCTCAAGAGCCCCTTTAGAGCTGRGTTATTTTTCTTGTGGCTCCTTCCCCAGAGTGGTTTTGGATACAGAGGTCAATATAAAGCTGCTTGCAGGATTTCTTCCTTTTTAARATGTTATTTAGGGTGGGAAAAAATGTTGTGGGGTAAGCAGAGAGCCAAGTTAGAATTGTGTGTTAATGAAGAGAAATGTTAATTAAGGAGCAGGGTTTCTGCTCCTTGCAGGGGGATGTCCTTTCCAGGAATGTTGGAAATGCTGTAGGAATCGTTGGATTTGGGGGTTTTTAGAGGAACAGAGGAGGTGTTCTGGGTGAGCACTGGAATGATGCCCACCTCCACAGTGGGTCAGGGCTGAAGGAAAACCTGTTCCAGGGGAGCTCAGCAGCCAGGCTGGGTGGGGCAGGGACTGAGGGGGAATGGGAGCAGTGGGGACCCAGCTGCACATCCCCAGGTTTGGGGGTGGCTGAGTCAGGGCTGCCATTCAGCATCATCTTGGGTTATTTTTAGTGCCTGTGTGGTGCTGATTGCCATGGCAATGCCACGGCACCGTGGGCTCCGGGGAGGAGCTGGGTGCTGCTCTGGCACCGCTGGGCTGGGGATGCTCCAGGGGGATCTGGGCATGGGATGGGGGTGGGAAGGGACAGTTTGGTGTCCCTGGGCTGGGCCAGGGGATGGGGGGATGGACAGCTCGATGTCCGGGGCTGGACCATGGTGTGGGGACAGCTCACAGCCCCAGCTGGGGCTCCCCAGCTCTGGAAACCAAACACAATCCTGCAGGCACCAGAGCCTGGCCAGGAATGGGATCCTTTGGGATGGGAATGAGCAGGATCCATTGGGAATGAGCAGGATCCATTGGGATGAACAGGATCCATTCCCATTGCATCCCAGGGTCACTCACTTGCTCAGGGAATCAACTGCTCAGCACCTGCTCAGCTTTCCTTCTGGAATTCATGCAGAACTGTGGGTGCTCTTTGAGCAGGTGTGGGATCATTGGGCTCTGAGGCCTCCTCAGCCCCTGCCCAGCACAGCCTCGTGCCTCCAGGAGGTCTGAGTGCCCAGATYCTCCTTGACCTTGGAAAATTTTCCCCTTTCTAATCATGGGTTGCTTGGTCACTACTTGGTGCAACTCAGAGCAAGGCCAGAAGAGCTGCTCGTGAGTGACCTCCCTGACCTCAGCAAAGAGGGAGAGAAGAGTTAATTAACATAGCCAGGAATTTTTCTCTGTCCTTGGGTGTGCTGGGACTGGCCTTTGGCCCTACAATCACATCTAGAAATTATTGGAAAAGATAAAAGACTGGAGAGAGCCACTTCCACTTCAGMTTTTAATTTCAGCAGATTGGCTCACTGGAGGCTGCTGTGACCCAGTGCCCTTCAGGGAGGCAGCTGGGAGCTCTCCCAGGGGCTGCTCTTGGCTTTGGGTTAACAGGTGGGCTCAGTGATCTCGGAGGTTTTTTAAAGCTGTCTGACTCCAGGATTCCTGCCCTGGGAAGCAGGTTTGGGGAGGATGCTCTGCTGGCTGAGCAGAGGTTCATAAGCCACTGCGTGTAAGCGCTGTCAGAGCAGGGTGAGCCACTTAATCCCAATTAAACACCTTAATGAATCTCTCCCTGACGGGGTTTCAATTACGTGGAGCAGAGGAGRGCTGGGAGCAGCAGAGCTGGGAGCTCCGTGGCTGATGGATCAGGAGCTGGCAATGATGGTGCTCCTGTGGGACCAAACTGTTTTATTTTCTGTGAGATCACTGAGAATTGCATCCCAAATCAACAGGGACCTGGGCAGGGCGTGGGGGTTTCTGTTYAAACCCCTCCAAATAGRACYTYCCAGGTTATTCCTGCTGCTCTTTTSTCTGGCTTGGGATGATCCTGTGTGTGCAGAGAGCTTTGGGGTGTGCGG